GAGAGTGTCCTGGTGTGGTGCTGTGGGCTAATGTGTCAGACTGCAAAGTTGTTTGAACTGCAATGTCAGTGGTTCAAGCTCACCAGCTGCTCCTTGGAAACCCTATACAGGGTCACTATGGGTTGGAATCGGCTCAACAGCACCTAACAACAATATATATATATATTCATCCTCAAAACCATTCCTCTTTTTAAAAATATGCTCTATTATCTTATTTTGGAGTTAAATGTGCTGAACTGCAAAGTCGGTTTGAATCAACAGGTCGATGGTTCAGGCTCACTAGTTGCTCCTTGGAAACCCTATACAGGGTCACTGCCTACTAAGTGGCACTTCACAACAACACCAACAAAATTATCCTGTTTTTTTTAGACTAGGGAAACTGACACAAAGAGAAGCACACAGCAAGTGTCTGAGCTGGGATGCAAAGCTAGGACCGTCTGATTCTCAAACCCAAGCTCTTTGCCACTTAGCTGTATGACCCTAGGTAAAATACCTACCTTTACGTAACCGTGGCTTCCATATCTTTAAAGTGGATCCAATAACTATCACAGGTTGTCAAGGATTCAAGCAGATAGTGTGTATAAAGGCTGCGAATGAGGGGAATCTTATTACATACTGTCTTGATACTCTCTTCCCCAGGATGAATTAGTCATTCCTCTAATGCAGCATTCATTTCATAGACAATGTTAATAACAACTGATACTATATTGATCACTGGTGGTTCTATGCCAGATACTCTACTGAGCACTTTATTATATTAATTCATTGACTCCTTCCAATAACCCTCCGGAATGGGTCTCCAGTCTGTCTTGGATATATTGCACATGTCTGATTTGCAAGTCTTATTTTGGCATTATTTCACATTGACTCTATTGGATTCATGTTTGATTCATAAATCTTGAGCTCCTGGGGATCATGATGTCATCCAGACCACACAGTGACCTCACCTTCTCCTTAGGAGGCTTTCACTGCAAGAAGACACCCCGCAGAATATAAAGCACCTTGCTGTGTAGTTGCAGGTGCCAATACTGGGAGATCATAATTTTCTCACCATTGTCTGAAGCCTGAGCCTGACCTCCCTTTTCATAGGAAGTTTTGAATTTCCTGCTACCTTAGTGGGCAGGATTAAGCCATCAGCAAGTGCTTTTAGAAGGATGCAACTAAATTGAATTGTGTTCAGAGGATGGGGCCAGGGATGAGAAAAGATGAGGAAACATTACAGAACAGGAAATGCTCAGCCCCAACCAGGACAAATGGCTGTCTTCCTATGTCTCTGAGAGATATGTTTGGTGAAGAGGAATCCAACTAGTTCTAGCCAAGCTCAAGGACTAGGAGGATGATGAGGGCTTAATAGAAAGGAATCTTTATGTAGACAAGCATGGTGTTAAAAGGCATGAGCTCTAGAATCGGACTGACGAGCCAGTGAGTAGCCTCGGTAAGAATACCTTTAAGGACCATGATGAAAACAAAAAGGGATGATGCATCTGAAGCACATTGCCTAACTCAAAAGAAGTGCTTGATAATAATTGTTAGGTCTTAGTGTTTTTGTCATTAACACTCAACAGGTGAGAATAGTGGAAATAGTGAGGATGCTGGACTTGAAGAGACCCACAACTAAATCTTCGTTCTGCCATTTACTAGAGTTGAGACTTTGGTCAAGTCACTTGACCTCTTTGAGCCTCAATTTCATCACGCCTAAAAATGATGATGGTTATGGCCACCTCACACAACTAAGTTGGCTGAATGAATATACAGAACCATGTACCTAGTAAGGGCTCAGTCAATACTAGTTCTCCTCTCTGTCCATGGTGCTATTACTGTGAGGTACCACCATCAAGTTGATTCTGATTCATAGGCAACCCTATGTACAGCAGAACAACACACTGCCAGCTCTTGTGCCAGCCTCAAGATCATTGCTGTGTTTCAGCACATTGTTGCAGTCACGATGTCAATACATCCCACTGAGGGTCTTCCTCTTTTCTTGCTGACCCTCTGTTAAGCATGAGGTCCTTTCTCCAAGGACTGGTTCCTCCTGACAGTGTACCCAAAGTACATGAAACAAAGTCACCCCATCCTCATTTCTAAGATACATTCTGGCTGCATTTCTTTCAACACAGATTTGTTTATTCTTCTGGTGGTCCATGGTATATCCAGGAGTCTTTGCATATACCATAACGCAAATGCATCAATTCTTCTTTGGTTATCCTTGTTCATTGTCCAGCTTTTGCACCCATACATATGAAGCTATTGAAAATACCAGGACTTGTGTCAAGTGCACCTGAGTCCTCAAAGTGACGTCTTTGCTCTGAAACAAAGATGGTCATCTGCAGCAGATTTGCCCATTGCAATAATAATACACAGTTTGATTTCTTGATTGCTGACTCCATGGATATTGACTGCAAATCTAAGTAAAATAAAATCCTTGGCAACTTCAATCTTTTCCCCATTTATCATGATGATTTTTTTGGTTCACAGGTGAGATTTTTTTTTTTGTCTGTTTCTTTACATTGAGGTGCAATCCTTTACGAAGGCTGTGGTCTTTGATCTTCATCTGTAAGTTCATCTAGTTTTCTTCACTTCCAGGAAAGAAGGTTTGTCATCTGCACATCGCAGGTTATTAATGACTCTTCTTCCAATCCTGATTCTACATTCTTATTCATATAGTGTATCATCTTGGATTTTTTTCAGCATACAGATTGCCTTAGTGAAAGGAAACAACCCTGACATACACCTTTCCTGATTTAAAACCATGCAGTAACCCCTTATTCTTTCCGAATACAAGTTCCTCATGAGCACAATTAAGTGATCTAGGATTCCCATTGCTTGCAATGTGATCCATAATTTATTATGATCCACTGCAGTCAAATGTCTTAGCCAATAAAACACACGTCAATTTCTTTCTGGGATTCTCTGCTTTCAGTCAAGAACCATCTAACATCAATAATGACATCCCTTGTTCCACATCCTCTTCTGAATCTGGCTTGACTTTCTGGTGATGTATTGCTACAAGTATTTTTAAATTATCTTGAACATTCTTTTACTTGTGTATGGTATTAATGATATTGTTCAATGATTTCTGCATTCTGTTGTGTCACCTTTCCTTGCACTGGGTGCAATTGGTTGGCCAGCTAGCTGTCTTCCAAATTTCTTGACATAGAAATTTGCATAGCCTCCAGCACTGCATCAGGTTGTTGAAACATTTCAGTTTGTATTCCATCAGTTCCTGAAAACTTGTTTTTCACCAATGCCTTAGTGTAGTGTGGACTTCTTCCTGTAATACCATCAGTTCTTGGTTATATGCTCTCTCTTAGAATGGTTTAACACTGAACAATCCTTTTTGGTACAGTGCCTTTGTGTATTCCTTCATGATGCTTTCAGCGTCATTCAATATATACATGCATATATTTATATATATCATTTTACAGCTTTATTTGAAAGTAACTTAATTCAATAGTTCAGTATCATGATAGTATTTTTCAATAAATCTACTTTTTGTTCTCTGTTGGAAATGTTTTGATTGTTCAGAAAATGTACTTTGCATTCTCAAAATTCTATTCAACCTATCCAATATTTTCTGAATCTGTTATACCTGGAAATAATAGATTTATAGAATGACAAGAGATTCATTTGTTTCTTACTATTTCTGTTTGTGAAATTTGGCTTACACATTTTATTTATTCAGCATGAGTTATTTAAAAATAGGGTATGTCAATAAAGACATTTTACACACTTTTAAAAGAGAATGATTTTTGCTTTTCAGTACATATTTACCCTTTGCTTCAGGCTATGCAATTCAATTTTTCAACAATTGCAATTTTAAAAAAATTAAATATAGCTATTTACTTTTGTAGTACGAAATAATGGATAATTGTTTATATGAAAATATTGCTGAATTTGATGTAATAACTTTAATTTTTTTCCTTTTTAAAAAAGGATTTTATTGTGAGCTGAGTGATAGTTTACATGAGAGAACCTCAGGTTTA